CCTGGAAGAAAGTCAGTTGCAAAACTTTGTCTTAACTCATTTTGGAGTCATTGGGTTATCTCTGAGGGCAAGTCACAACTGACCCACGTAACACCTGTTAAAGAGTATCACTCTTTAATGAGTGATAATACCAAGATCGTAAGAGACGTTACGTTAGGTGACCTCTTCAGTTTGTCCTCGGCCCCCTTTCGGAGAAATGAGCCCTCGTGCTAATTAGCTTTAGTACATCTATTAAACGGTAACATGCCTATCAGATGTGAGATTATATTAATAATTTATTAACTTCAAAATAAATGTCTTAGTCTGATATAATATTTTAACTGACATATTGAAGGTAATATTTGAGACAGTGTTTTGATTGTGCATTGATGACACCGAAACTTTATATTGGAAAAACAGAAGAGGCACTCATCAACAAAAAACGTTGTGTTTTATAGATATTTAAAGACAAAAATTCATACCTGTAATTGTTATATGAGAGTATCTCAGGTTTTATTTTAGAGGTCTCATGTAGGGGTGGTTTCCTGAAGAAGAAAAATCATTGCAGACCAATAAGAAGATTTTAGAAGATCTTATTGTTTTAAAAACTCGCACGACTATACTGTAGTGTGTTGTCTGTTAGTCAGCCACTAGGCACTAAAAGTATGTCAAATAAGGGACGCTTAACAATGCAATTTGTATACTGTTGTGACGTCAGTAAAATGTGTGCATGCCATGAATTACGAAAAGAATTACACTCTCTGTAGGCTACAACACAACATGACATATGAACTTCAAAAGCAAGAAATAAAAATATTAGTTACTCTTACTCTTGGTTATATTTACTCTTGAAACAGAACATCTAGTTTTAATATATACATATTGTTTTTAAAGATTAAAATTCAGGAGGACATGCTTTCCAAGATAACTGCTTTGTAGTTGTGGAAAGCACTATTCTGGCAGCAAATGCTATATTTAGCTTAGCAACAACAGCAATTATGTTTGCTGCCTACTATATTGTTACGACAGCGGTAGTCACGTGACGCTGGTAACACGTCATGATATTCTAGAAAGATCGGGGAACATCACGAATAACCCAGTATGTGCTAGGCGCCCTCTATTCCTGTATATAAGTGCGCCGGATAACGTGAGACAAATTAATCGGAATTGAATTGCTGACAGGCAGAGATAAAGACGGACAATGGAGTCAAGCGCGCTAGTGACCGTAAGTAAGTGCGTGAATCATTGTGAATTATAGCGTGTGTTTAAAGTGACTGTGGAAATTAAGTGTATTGCAAAGTTGAATTGAGAAAGAATAAACTAGTTTTATTTAAGAAAGGACTTGTATCGCTAAAGTTTCATCCGAAAGAAATTATACGGGAAATTAACAAACGACCAGAGGCGTAACAATATTTCCGATGGATTCATATTTTATCACCAAACAACTAGCGACAGGATTTCTCAACTGCTAATACGAAAAACTGTTATCGTTGAGTAACTCGGTTATTAGATTACTTCAAATAATTACATAGGCGAGGAAATAACAAACTGGAAAATAGAATATAAAGTAGTGGTGATAAACTCGTCAAATTAAAATAACTTTATTAATAAAACAACCAGGTTACCAGTGACGATGAAACCGTTAAAATAAGGGTTAGGTTGAAAGAACAAATAACACGTGGCTCGAAGGCTCGAGAACACGTTCCAGAAGCTACAAATGAGCTAAGGGAAGTAACATATAAAAATCATAAATATAAAAATTATATAAATACAGTTAATCGTAGTAAATAAACTAAATAGAAAAAATGGAAATGTAGAACAAAAATACAGGTAACAATTTAAGAAAATGAATGATCACGTGCATCTTGTTCAAATGGATACAACAATAAAAGATATGTGAACATTACAGGAGTGAAAAATGACGGTGAAAAAAAAAATATAAGTGGATCTTGAGTATTACTATTTATCTTTTTATGTGAAATAATACAGAGAAAAGAAATGTGCCCGCCATGGAATGTAAGAGTGGTTTAACTATTGTGGGTTGTTACAGTGTTTTAACTATTGTGGGTTGTTACAGTGTTTTAACTATTGTGGGTTGTTACAGTGTTTTAACTGTTATGG